CAGGATGTAAGAGTTTTAATTCAATCTCTTATCAAGCTAAGATTATAGCCCATGTAAACTGCCATCTCTCTTGCACTAAAATTTGTTCAGTGCATTTGAGTGCCACGTTGCTCCTGGCACAATGCTGGAGGAGCCACAGAATTCCTACAAACGGGCTTCTTTAAGGGCCCAGGTGTGAAAACTGAATTTAGGGTGCTATTTGCAGAAAGATGCTGGTTGAGCTGGGAGCTCGCTACTTACTCAGTGTGGAGCAGGGATTAGCAGCATAGGCACTTCTTGAGAACTTGCTAGAAATCTAGCTTCTTGGGTTAATTAAATCTGCATTTTTAACAAGGTCTCCAGGTGATTCCTATTCACGTCAAAGCTTGTGAGCAGGTACCTACATAACTTAAAGGTGTACAAGTGATCCTTGAACGACGCAGCAGTTAGTGGCGTCAATGCCCCAGGCTGCTGAAAATTCACGTAAGACTTTGTGATCCTTCCACCGCAAAACCATAACCCAAGACTAATTTGGGGAGAACACCAGACAAGTACCAGCAGAGTATCTATCACTCCACAAAATATCTGACCATTACTCTTTAAGGTCATCAAAAACGGGAAACGACCGAGAAACTGTAACAATAAAAGGAGATTAAGGAGATGGCACGACAAATTATAATGTGGTATCTTGGATGAGATTCTGGAGCAGAAAAAGTACATGAACTTAAAACTAAGTAAACCAAACTATGGACTTTAATGACTATGTATTGTAATAGTTTATTATTATAACAAATATTCCATGCTACTATAAGATGTTATAGAAGGTATTGCCGTTTGGGTGTAAAGAAATACACTTCTCATCTCAGCATTTTCTGTAAATCTACAACTGTGAAAAAAAAAACAAAAAAAAAATGTAGTTTAGAAATAGAAATCTGAGAGCATGTTCTTTAATTACAAAATATATGAGTTGCAAGGGCAACAGATAAAGTATAGGGTGGATGATTGAGAAATTCCATAAGACACAGAGAGCTCTTAGCAAATGATAAGGAAAATCTCCTGTGCTGCAAGTGGAAAGCATTGTCACTCTTTGAATAGACAACCCGAAAAACAAGCAACCGTCTAATAAACAATTAAAAAGAAAGGATTCAGGCCCTCCCTGGTGGCGCAGTGGGTTAAAGCACAGCACTGAGAATCTAAAGCCACTTCCGCATGAGTTCGATCCCCGCCTGCCCCGGAGGTGACCACATGGCGCGGCAGCCCTCTCCTGACCCGCCCGCTGCTCCCCTCAGCAGTGTCCTTCGTCGATCTGCCTGTCCTTCGTCGACCTGCTCCCCACTCTGTCTCTGGTGAAGCCTCTCACTGCCCCTGAGCCTCTGGCCTGTACCCCAGTTCTGTATGCACAAATAAATACATCTTAAAAAAAAAAAAAGAAAGGATTCAGATTCCCTAGAAGTTAGGGGTGTTCACATTAAGTAACAACGGATTATCACCGTCCATTCATTTGAATGGCAGCAGGAACAGGAACCATCACACCGACCGCTGGAGGGAATGAAAGAAAACTCCACCACCGTGGACATGGACATGGCTACGTTGTCAAAGTTAGCCTATCGAGACACAGTACAATGAGAAATAGAGACATTTTGATCTGTCCGTGACGCTCCCAGGAGTTATTCCACTGAAGTGAAATATTTTTTACTACAATAAAAAAAATACTCCACTAATTATTCCACCTCTTAAAGATACATACAAAACAAACCAAAAACAGATCACAATAGCATTGTTTCCAAGGCCAAGAATTGGGAAAAAGGAAATGCCCATAAACAGGAATGCGAATGACTGGAATACGGTATTTTCTTACCACGGAGATCCCGGGACTAAGCTGAATGCACCACCTTTCCAAACTTCTCAGACGGCACCCACATAACTGGCTATGCAATAACATCTCCGGGGTGTCAGAGGGCTGTAGCAGCGCTCACGGGCTGGCCTGGGTCTCCCATGAAAGGCCCATTCTGATTATAATGACATGTGTGACTTCATTATCCGGAAAATGATGAGATTTAGAGAAAGGGTCAGTAATTTGGGCAGACAAAATAAAATACACAAATTAACAGACTTATCATGTGCCACCCCTAGTCAAATGATCAATTTTTAAATGAAATCATTACCAAAGGAAAGGGAAACAGATCAAACTGATCAGGTAATGTAAGTTCAGAAATGCGGGAAACTAGCAAACTTGAGTGATCAAACAGCTTTCATAGTTGGAGTCATACACATGCAGTGAAAGAGAACATTTTACTGCAAAATCATGATCTTGCTTCATGAAGAACTTGCAAATGCAGAATGTGTATTTTAGAAAACAGACCAATATCAATATACTCCTTGTAATACAGAAATAAATAAGTAGCACGCGGACATGTAATAGAAACAAAATATGAGAGATGCGTAAAAAGAGAACGTACCAGATCTCAGGAACTGAGTTAAAATGCAAAGCTGTAAGATGCAATACACAAGCAGGGCTTGGATAAAGGATATATACCCATGCTCCCAAGCGCGATGCTGATATTGCAGAGGTAATGAATCCGCTCAATTTCACTAATATTTTAGAATCCCCATAGGAAGCAACAGTAATCTGACAAACAGCAACTGAAACTCCACGTGGAAGGATACACTGGTAAGAAGTAACAACTGGAGAAAAATAATGAAGGTCAGTATATTGGTTTCCAAGGGCTTCCCCCAACAAAGCACCACAGGTTAAGGGGGCATCAAAGTTATAAATCTGTCACAGTTCTCACGGCCACAAATGCCCAGATCAAGGCACTGACAGGGGTGTGCTCTCTCTGGAGACTGGAGGGGAGGAGCCTTCTTGGCTGCTTCCTGCTGCTGGAGGTCCAGGTCATCCTTGGCTGGCTGTGGCCCGACACTGGTCTCGATGTCTCCACTTCACACGGCCGAGTCCCTCTCCCTGGGTCTGCGTTCAAATTTGCCTCGTGCTGTAAGGACACCAAATTAGATGAGGAGCCGCCCCACTTCAATATAAGTAATTGTGGCCCTCCCTGGTGGCGCAGTGGGTTAAAGCACAGCACTGAGAATCTAAAGCCACTTCCGCATGAGTTTGATCCCCGCCTGCCCCGGAGGTGACCACATGGCGCGGCAGACCTCTCCTGACCCGCCCGCTGCTCCCCTCAGCAGTGGACTTCTCCCCACTGTCTCTGGTGAAGCCTCTCGCCGACCCTGAGCCTCTGGCCTGGACCCCAGCTCTGTATGCACAAATAAATAAATCTTAAAAAAAATATATAAGTAATTGTGTCCACAGTGTTCCTAGTTCCAATTATGACATTCTGAGGGTGTCCACATCTCTTTGGGGGGGGGCACAGTTTAACCCATAACAGCCAGAAGGAGAAATCAATTAAAAAAGTAACATAAAATTATAAGAATTCAGCGTGGAATTTGTTCAAAAATTGAAGGGTAACCACGGAAATGCTTTAGGAAAACACAATGTGATAATTCTTTGGAAACCACATCACCTAATGAATTATTTTAGAGTTTGAGTTGAATTTTAAAACATAAACCAGTAAATAACAGATAAATGCACGAGGAAACACATTTTATACAATGCTCCTGTTCATATGAAATGAATAAAAAACAAAGAAACGTATAGAGATTTCCGGGAGTAAATTACCTGTATTGTGCAGAGGAGGTTGGGCAGGAGTTTAATGTAATGGAAAGGGTGGAATTAATTAGTTTTGGGGTTAGGTTATCAAATTTGTCAAATTATATCTCAAAATTCTCCCCTGTGGTAAACTGTGAAAGGACTACTTTTAATGTTGACAATATCGTCAAAGAACAATCATCTCCTTAAATGAGTGAAAACATCAGTCACTTGCTCGGTAGGCTTAAATAGGTCATTTACCTCCTTAAACACACACATCTCATCTACGATCAAGGAGATAATAACTGTTCTTAATAACAATGATAGCTGCAATAGTAAGAATGATAATGAAATCTTTACCATTTACTGAAAGCTTACCTACTCAGCTAAGGAAAGGTGGAAATATCTTTGTATATATTATCTCATAATAAACCATCAGATACCATCATTAACTCTGTCATGAGACAGATGTTAGGACTGAATCCTCATTTTACACATTAGAAACTACTTCTGTAAATTAAAAAGCTACTTATAAGCATAAAAGGTGTATGATTTTGACAACTGGTTCTCTGCCTTTAAAAACATTTGAAAATTAATATATAGCAGTCTTATTTAGATTCCATGTGCTCACTAATCAAGACTGTACTCTGTACAGTCTTTTTTAGTAGTGACGTTTGCCTCTATTGCTACATTATTTTTCAATTCAGTGGTTTAATGGCCACCTACTATGTTCCAGATGATACCGTGCACCCATGAAATATTACCTGTGAACACAATGGAAGACCTCTTGGACCTCATACTCCTCTTTGGGGTGAGGGGAAAGAATAAAGACAGACAAAAAAATAAATCAATAAGCAATAAATTTCGGTTAGGCAATTCTAAGTGTGTTGTAAAAGCCTGAAGAATCAATGAGAATGAAGATCGTAAGACTGATGTCAGGGTCCAGGCTAGACTGATTTTCACAGGACCCTGCCCATCCAGGATCCCTGCGACATTGCACATAACATGCTAAGTTTGCTGAATTAGAAAATGGGAAATGAAGCTTAATTTTGATTCTGCAATACAAGCACATGAATCTTTTTTTAATGAATAATGGTTTATTTTTACATCATTTTGTGCATTTTTCCCTCTCAGTTATAAACCCCGTGGGCTTCCCATCACCAAACCACCCATGTGCCATCGCCATAGTCCAGTGCATTTCCCTCCCCCCACTGTTTTTGATCCCATTCCCCCCTCCGCCCCCGTAAAATGTCCCTGGTATATAGCTGTTCATTATTATTATTATTTTCTCGCCTGGTCCGTTATATTCCTGCTATGAGTGGAAACCATCCGGTATTTTTCCTTTTCTTTATGGCTTATCTCACTAAGCATGATCTTTTCCAGCTCCATCCATGTTGCTGCAAAAGGCAAAAAAACACATGCATCTTTTATGCGCTTAAGTCACATTTGGAAATCAAGCCTTCAAAACTTTGAACAGTGCTAAACATTTGAGGAAGTTGGGCACTAAAAACAGAAAAATCATTGCTTTCACTGTATACCAATGTTTGTATAAAGATAGCTCAATCTAGAACTAATTCACAATAGTAAGGAAAAAAGTCACTCATGTATATACTCATGAAGACATACTCAAGCCCTCTATAAAAGAAAAGACAAAACGTCTCCAAAAGATTTACAGGGTAACCTTGAAGAATACTCTCACCCCCATATTCACATGAGATAAGACAGATACACCAGTATCAGATGGTCATTTTAACAATGACAACAGCAAATGCATGCTACAGCAAATAATTTAAAAAGGGAAAGGTGGTAATAAGAAATTTGAAAAGTGAGTTAAATTTCAGCTGGGGGCGCTCCCTGGTGGTCAATGGGTTCAAGAGCAGCACTGTGCGCTCTCCCCAGCGGCTGCAACATGAGTTCAATCCCCGGCCAGGGAGCTGACCCACCTGGCACAGCAGACCTCTGCTGTCTCTCCCACTGTTCCCCTCAGCAGTGGATTTCAGTAAATATGCCTGTTCTTCCCCCAATTCTGTCTCTGGTAAACCCTCTTTCCAACCCCCTGCACCTCTGGCCTGCACCCCAGTTCTGTAAGCATAAATAAATAAACCTTATTATTATTATGTTTTTAGTTGGAAGTCTTCAGTAGGAGAGATTAGCAAAGAAAACCCTTGAAAAAGGAAAGTAATAAGGGAAGTGTGATTACTGTAAGTACTGGCTCCTTATCACAGTGTTGGGACATTAAAAGGGTAAAACCACACAAAGCTGATTGCTTGAAAGTGTGCTGGGACAATGTGACACTTCTGAGGTATGGTGCGGGTTGGGGAGATAAACAAACAGTTTATTTCCTACAATGTGCATGTATACAATCAAAATACGGAAAGATGTACTAGTTACATGTCATTTAGCCTAATAAGTAGACCTCCAGAAACAGAAATAAGAAATAAAAAAGAGAGAAATCTTTCCTTGTTTGCATTTGTAGCGAGCAAATTGAAAACTAAAATCTTTAAAACTTTGCACCAGTCACTCACTTTTGGACTTTAAGCAAATCACCTCTCTTTGCTAAGACTCAAAGTTCTGACTCCAGAAAAAAGGGCCAGGGCTAGTTCGGCGATAATAAAAGTAACAGTGACAGCCATCAGAATGAAGTTAGGAAGTCACTGAATGTTTACCCAACTGTCGGGGAGCGTGGAAAAGACTTCAAGGGAATGACCTCTTTTTACCCTCACCAAGTCCGATGCCACAGATACTATTATTCATTCTGTGCTTAAGATTAAATGAGGCAGGATATGGACAAATAATTTCTGTGAACTAAAATGTAACTAAGACATCGAGTAATCACATTATTAGCAAATTTGATTCTGTCGTCCCCAAATAATATAGCAGGTCCATTCAGCATCGGCATGCCTAGCTACCAGGATGTAAGCACTGTAATTCTTTTTCTTTATTCTTTCCTTCCTTCATTCAGCAAAGATTTATTAACCGCCTACTATGTGTGAGGCACTGTTGTTGATGTGTGGGATAAATCACTGAACAAAACAGAGATCTCCCCAGTTGTGAAGGTTTCATTCTGCTGGAAGGAAAAAGACAAGGAAACAAGGTGGCCAATTCATCTCAGCTTGCCTGGCCTTTCCTGGTATTAAAACTGAAAAGTCCCACAACCCTGGGAACCCCCTCAGCCCATCAAACCGAATGCTCATTTGCTGAAGAGAAGACACAATAAATCAACGATAAACCATGCAAAAACACGTGGAATGAAGCAAAGGAAGAGCAGGGGGAGGAGCGTGGGAGAGCTGAGGACGGGGACCAGGATACTGCTTCAGTGAGAGGCAGAGGCTGGGTGAGCAGGCGACATGTGAGCAACGATTTTAGAGGAATTAATGAATCAGCCTACTTGATACCTGGGAGGACGAGTTCTGAGAGAGGGAACAGCCAGTGCAAAGGCCGGAGCGGGCCTCTATCGGGCTGTCTGAGAAATAGCATATTGTCCACAGAGGCTGGACCCCATACTCCACTCAGACATTTTGGTTTCAGAAGTCTGATTATGTCTATCCAGAGAAGCAGGCGAAAATCAGGGCAATTTAACTGGGGGATTCCAGTGGAAGGGGTGGAGGAAGGAGTCCAGGTGCAAATCAGTGCTATTACCTGCCGTGACTTCAGTGGTTACGTGCTGACGCAAGAAGTAACAGGTGGCAGAACTTCCACTGCTGTAGACATAATTTTTAAAATTTATTTTTACCGCAGTAACATTAGTTTACAACACTGTGTATGGCTTAGGGGGCTGGACTCACACCTTTCAGCTGTATATTCTCACGCCACACATGCTAACAAAGAACCCATAAGCCTTCATCATACTCCCACTTTGCTATCTATCCTCAGCCCTTCTGGTATCCTAAATTCTCCAGTCAGATTTCTACCGGTTTGGGTTTAGTTTTAACTATTCCTTTATTTTCTCTGTATCCACATGAGTGACACCATCAGTATTTGTCTTTCTCCTCTGACTTACTTCACTCTGCATAATCCCTTCCAGTTCCATTCATTTCGCAAATAACCCAATTGCATCTTTTTTACAACGGTAGTCTGCCATGCACACACACATTCTTTACCACTCACCTGTCGCTGGGCCCCTCTCACTCTGGTAGACTGAAGAAATTCAATTTTGCAGCTAAATTATTTGGGAAGGCAGAAGAGAGAGACCATCAGTTCCCTAATTATGCTGTTTGGTGTATTTTTACGAGAGAAAACATGGCAGTGAATGATTTCAATTTAATGTAAAACTCCAGCCAAAAAATTCCAACAGTGAGTTTCATTGTGTCTTAATACACACTTCAGCAAAAATATGCTGCTGAATGAGGCAGTTAATATGGGTCAAAAGTTGGGTCTGTACTGAGGAATTCGAGGGAATAGTGATTTGTCAACATATATTGTGGCCCATGCTTGTGCATGCAATTGAAAACAATGTTGCATTTATTATTAAATAAAATACATTTAAATTTTGTAATCATACTTCGGGTACTCTGTTAATAAGGGATCTAACAAGTGAAAGCCTCCAATTCCATTATCTTGAGCAATGGTATCCGCCATTCAGACCTCTATCACTCAGGCTTTCCACCCACTTAACGCTTGCTCGTGGCAGCTGGGAGACGTACAGCATGTGGATTATCTCAGTAACTCATCACAAGATATATGAGCTGCAGACACGTTTAATTCCACACTTCAGATCTGCCATGAGAAATAAACATCAGTGCACATTAAATACTTTGAAAATCCCAGGAGCCACAGAGAAACAAGTGATTGTGTTACGGCGGTATGTTTTCCCTTTCTTGCCAAAATACATTCTTTCATACCATACTGACTTCTGATCTAGAAGATGGTATATAAAGTACATGCCACACATGTAGATTATTAGGGGACCCTTTTTTGCATCCTTAGAGTCACCTTATCAATTCCACTATCATGATATATACTGTGATGATGGATGAGCAGTGTGACATAAAGAAAAGGGGTAAGTGGGGAGAAAACTAAGGAAAATAAGTCAGAAGAAGAAAGACGAATATGTGGAGTATCTCTACATAGTGAGTAATCTTAGCGGGACGTTATAATTCAGGTTGAACTAATTACATTGGCTGGTAACATTTGGGTTCACCAGCCAGGATTTACCTATTAATAAATTACAGAACTATCAGTGGTATCACAGAAAATCTACCATCAGTCAACAGTATGAAGCCAACTGACATCAAAGCCCCTCAAACACGTTTTTGCCCAAGGTCCTACGAAAGCAGGACTGAACAACCCAAACCTCAAATAGCAGAATGGGGAGGAGGCCGGTGCACCCCAAGCTCAGTAATTGCCACGCAGACACTGGCAGTTCACAGCACGGTGGGAACACTATCTATACTGCGTGTTTCTGTCCAAGGCATCAAAATTGAAAACTCCATTAACCACAGAAATCACCCAAAAAATGCAATTTAAAATAAATGTAAACGTGTAAGAAAACCTAGAAAGGTATTCGGAAAAAAATATAAACAACCTCAAGGCACTTCAGAGATAGTCAATTAGACTAGAAAATGGCAAAGAAAAGAACCTCTAAACAGAGGAAAGTCAAAAAGCAAATTATCAAGCAATAAAATTACTTAAAATACTTCAGGGCCCATAGTAAATAAATCAAAGACTTTATAGTATAATATAAAATAATACATCAAAGAAAGCACAGCTATCTCCATGTGCTGGAAGCTTCAATACTGCCAATAACGTTCATTTTCCTGAAGATGTTTTACAATTTTAGGTTAAAGAAGAAAAGCCAAATTTAAATCTATTGGGATTTGGCAAAATGCTGATACAGATTATGAGCAAACAGAAGATGTTGAGATTAACCAAGCTGACCTTGAAACTAAAGTACAGTGTAAATTATTTCTATACTACTCCCAAAGGGAGAAAAGCAGCATTGCCATAATGTCAAAAATAACTTTTAAAGTTAGATCAAAGAGTCAAACTTATGTGAAAAATTCTTTTGGAAAACTTTAAACTTGAGGAAATAATAAAATTAAATACTAGTCTACTATATGGACACAAAATTTGATCTTCAAGGATATGTATCAGTAAGGATTTGGAGTAGGAAAGCTATTGGCTGGATAGTATGTATACTCTAACCTTTTTACCTAACTAAATAAAAATGAACACAAATGTCCTATGTGTCTACACGACAGTATCATAGAGAGAACACATTTCATACCCCTGACCAATCACAAAGAGCAGGCACGCTGCTCACAGCAGACATTAGAGTATGGCCAAAAGGGAATCAACAGTGGCTGAACTCATCCAACTATCTGTCTCCACTTTAGCCAACAGTAATTATGCCTCCCTTTTCCAAACAAAGCATTTAAACGAGATGATATATTCAAAAATGTGAAAAAATAGTTTGATAAGATTTTTTTTGTAATATAGCAGATGGTATTTAATCAGACAAATTTCAAGTTCACCTCTTATAGAGGAATGAACAATAAGGATTAATAATAACAATCAAGCAGTACATCACAATTATGTATTATGTATGCAAGGCCAAACACTCTACTATATATGTAACTTGCAATTTCTTATTCTGTATTCGCAAAAGTGAAATTAAATAGCGGCTACTGTTACTATATAAGGGAGTTCATATGAAGATAAAATGAGGTAGCTGGTTTTACAGATATAGTGAATTATAAACAAATTGCATGAGTTTCTAAGATAATAGCTTAAAGTATAAGAATCCACATAAATCGATAACAGGTTTGGCTCCTACTTAGAACCTAAAAGCTCAGTGAGCAACACCCGGACAATGGGATTCACACCAGTAACTAATCACAGTGGAGAACTAACGGAGAGTGAACACCACTCCATTTATCTGTGCTCCAGATATTAAACTGGATATCACTGTATCACTGGATCTCTGGATATGCTGTATCACTTCCATATTAAAGTGAAAGAAAACAAAAGCACTCAGAAAATAAATTGGTATTTAGCATTTCTAAATATCACAATGCGGCATTTTAATACTTCCTATTAAGATACAAAGAATTAAAAGAGGTTGCTACTGAACTACAGACATAATCAAGTTAATAAACAATGCTAGAAAGTTGAGAGCAATAGGAGACGCTTCAATTCTGGGGTGGCAGCATGAGGAGCTTAGCAAATTCACCCCCCACCCCCAAGGTAAGCAGCTTAACTGATGAAAACCTTTTAAAAAGTCTGTGGAACGTATCTGACAGGGGACTGCCGACTTAACTAAAAGAAAATAAATAACACCCCCCCAAAAAAAAAACCCAGAGGCACTAAATAAGCAATACTTCAAAGAAAACAGAGATGGCCAGCAGGAATGTGAAAAAACATCCATAATTACTAAGCACGAGGGAACGGGAAATCAAAACCACAATAAAGTAGCAGTGGGAATATTACCACTAAACCACAGGCTGGCTAGTGTAAGAGAGAGAATGAAGGGGCAGGTCAGGGAAGAAAAGTCCTGTAAGGTCAGGACAAATCTCAAAGATGGGCCTCAAAAACTAGCCCTGACCAATTTTTCCCCTAAGATTTATTTATTTATGCTTACAGAACTGGGGTACAGGCCAGAGGTGTGGTGGGTGATTGGATTCACTGGAGACAGAGCAGCAAGCAGCACAGGCAAGGTGACAAAGTCCACTGCTGAGGGGAGCAGTGGGCAGGTCAGGAGAGGTCTGCCGCGCCATGTGGGTCAGCTCCCTGGCCAAGGATGGAACTCGTGCTGCAGTGGTTTTCGGAGAGCTTCGTAATGCAGTGCTTTAACCCGTTGTGCCACCAGGGAGAGCTCATCCCTGACCAAATTTAATGGGATTAGACTAGAGCATTCCATACCTCAGAGTATTGTCAAAATCAGTAGAGCAATCAGCTCACAAACAGAGAAAACTAGCCAACTGAAAGTCAAAGAGAGCCTTGGTAAAACCACAGTCACTCCATGGGAATTCTCTGTGCACTTCAAAATCTTCTCTATCAACAGAAACAACATCACAGGCTTCATACTGAGGGAGGAAATAAAAGTCAGTGAGATAAGTCAGTTAAGTCACTAACCAAATAAAAAAACATACGACAAAAGTAAGACACAAAGGGGGGAAACCATAGTTGATATATTACCTAAAATATAAGGTTTCTGCAAAAAAAAAAAAATTCAAGGCATTTAAAGATACAATCTATGTGTAAAAATTAATGAGTAAAGTGAAGGATTCAAACATCAGAAACACCACCCGTTAATATATTTTTTTATAATTTAGAAAAATGTCATTTTTACTAAGTGTGAATTCACTCTAACAATGACACTTAAATAATCAGAAAAAAAATCAGTAACTATTTACTGCTTTACAATAAAACATTTAAATACTGACCAATGAAAGCACACAAACATTGCAAGAAAATATGCCTAAATAAAAAGCAAACTGTTACTACAAAAAAAAATTTTTTTTGAATTAGTCATACAATACATTAAAAAAAAAAAGAAGAAGAAGAAGAAAAGAAACGGGCCCTCCCTGGTGGCACAGCAGGTTGAAGCACAGCACTAAGAAGCTAAAGCCACTTCCGCATGAGTTCGATCCCTGGCCCCAGAGGTGATCCACATGGCATGGCAGACCTCTCCTGATACGCCCGCTGCTCCCCTCAGCAGTGGAATTCATCCGTCGGCCTGTTCTGGTCCCCACTCTGTCTCTGGTGAAGCCTCTCACTGCCCCTGCACCTCTGGCCTGTACCCCAGTCCTATATGCACAAATAAATAAACCTTTTAAAAAAACATAATAAAAGAGAAGGTAACAGTCTGGTTTGATTGGTTACATAAATATCAATCAAAATATTTAAAGCAACAAGAACCATTAAAAATTTAATGGCAAATTATCAAACTAAATATCATGACTCAGTTTGGCTGTGTCAAAGTGTGCCCACATAAGATAAACATGATTTCTGGGTGTTTCTGAGATGATGTGTTTGGAATGGAAACATTTCCCTCACCGTCTGAATAAAGCAGCTCACCTCCTGAGAGGAATGTACCTCATCCAATCAACTGGCTATGAGAAAAGAGTAAGAAATTAAAGGAGAAAAACAAAGTTTTGTGTTGAAGACAATGGACAAAGATTTGTAAAAAAAACAATGTGCTCTACAAGAAGTTTCCTGTGAGGTATAAT